AATTTTGTTTTCAAATTTTGTATTTTTTTATTTCATAATTAGTAAATTTGGTATAAAAATAAACTTAACAACTATCTAAAAAAATACAAAATTCAAATAAAAATTTAAAATTCCAAGAATAATAAAAAAATTATAGAATTATTTAAAAATAAAAATCATAAATTCAAATTAATACCACAAAATGTAAAATTCAAAAACCACGAATAAAAATAAAATTTTAGAACTATTTAAAAATAAAAAACATAAAATTCAAAATAGTTTTCAATTATTATAAGTTTCATTTAATACAAATTTTGTTTAATGTAGAAATAATTTATTGAAATATGGTTTATATACTAATTTTGACAATTGGAAAATATAAAAGACTAAATTTTACCATAACTATCCTTCTTATTAAATGTAATTATTTTATATTAAATTTGACCAACATATATTTGATATAATTAGTTAAAATAATTAAATAAATATTATTATAAGAAATTAGCAATTAAATAGTTAAATTTAAAACACTCAAATCAATAAATAAATAGTTAATTTCATTCTGGTAACGACATTTTCAATGACTAAATAAATAATAAATCGAAAAATATAGTTAATTTTTAAATCTTGTAATTTTTTTTTCATAAAACATTAAATAAATCAGTAAATAAAAATAATAAATAATATAGTTTTATCTTCATAATATTTTATTAAATAATCAAATCATTAAGAAGATAATAAACATTAAATAAATAGTTTATTTTAAATATTAATATATTCATTAGTTAATTTTTAAAAATATTAATTATATGGTTTTATTGAATAATAGTTAATTTTTAATCAAAAATTTTATTATATAAAATATATTGCTTTAAAAACAAATAATATTTTATTTTAATCTCTGTGCATATAGATCATGTTTCGATTAACAAATAATCGTATATATAAATTCTACAAAAAAATTGAAAAAAATATTAATGATATTTAAATTTTTTAATAAATTAGTTAGTAAATAACAATATATTTTTAGTATCATTGTTATATAATAAATAAGTAAATTTAAGCAACCTAAGTTAGTTATTTGGAATACCTTTTATTTGGAATATAAGAAATTTTGAAAATCAAGAAAATCATGATATTTTGCATAAAATAATATTAAATATGGCATAAAAATAAGATTTTATAGATATCTTCAAAAATAAAAAATTCAAATTAAAATTTGAAATAGCAGAGCTAACTAATTTGAAAAAAAATAATTATTTAATTATTTAAAAATAAAAAATAGAAAATTCAAATTAATTTTGGTATTCATTAATCTCATAATTACTTTTAAATAATTTTAAAATTCATTTATTTCAAAAATAGTATTAAATTCAAAATAAGATGAAAAATGAGAATACAATCAAAATTTGGCAATTTAATTAAAGTTAAATAGATTTCCATTAATTCACTTAAGTTATGAATATATTATATAAATCAGGGGATTTGAATTTGAATTTAAAAACAAAAAATAAAAATTCATATTAATTTAAGCATTTTTAATCTCATAATTATTATTTTAAATTAATTTTGAAATTAAAAATTAGTTAAAAATTGCTATTAACTTCAAAATAAGTTGAAAAATAGGAATATGATCTAAATTTGGTAATTCAATTAAAGTTAGTTATTTTTCCATTAATTTTCTTAAATTCTAAATCAATTATACATAAATTAGTTAACTTGAATTTTGTAACATATAAATTGTAATTTGAAAATTTTAGTAAATTTTAATTTCATAATTAGTATCAAAATTTGGTACAAAAATGAATTTTGGAAACTATCTAACAAAATACAAAATTCAAATTATAATTTGGTATTCCAAACCTAAATTATTTCAAAAAAATAAAAATTTAGAATTATTTAAAAATAAAAAACATAAACCAAAACTAATACCACAAATTTCAAAATTAAAAAAAAACCATGAATGAAAATTTAATACTTCAGATTTTAGAATAAAAATATTTTTAAAAAATGAAAAATTCAAAATGATTTAAAACTAAAAAAAGTCAAATTAATCTATTTAAAATAGTTTCATAATCTAAACTTGGTAACTTATTAAAGTAATATTTTTTACATTAATCTGCTTTAAAAATGAATTTATTATACTTAAATTTCGTAACTTAAATTTGATAACTCGAAATTGATTTAAAATTTTTGTATCACTGAATTTAAAGTTTACTAAAATTAGTTTTATTTTTGTGACGCCCCTGTTT